GTAAGTAATGACAAGCTGCATTGAGTTATAAAGAATTAAGACTACGAAAAAAACGCATTGTATATTACCCAGCATCCTCCATTGAATTCCACAAAGGACCAAGGTTGAGCAAAAGGAAGCTAAATCTGAATTTCAAGAAACACCAATGTATGGAACAAACTCCATAGATGTTTTCAGACGAACTTGCACGTGTCTACGGCCACACCTAGGCGAAAACACCAGTTCCCGTCCGATCACTGCAGTTAAGCGTCTGAGGGCCTTGTTAGTACTATGGTTGGAGACAACATGGGAATCCGGGGTGCTGTAGGCTTTCCTTTTTGTTGCTCTTTACTTTTTTATTTGTGGTTTGGTTTTTTGTTTATTCCTTTTCGGAAGGTTGATTCTCTTCCAGGTAAGGTAAGGCATTCTTTCTGCTATGCTGATTCACGTAACAGCAAGCTATAAACTTGAACGTTTATCAATACTTCATTAGCCAATTAGAATAAAAAGAAAACTAAACATATAACCTAACACGAAAATTAAAAATGTTACACGGATTCAAATGCAACTGCAAATGCGAATAAAAAAAATGGCAAGTTCAACGGAAAGAGAGCAAGACTAACACAGTATGTACGATAGTAAAACGTCAGTGCACTTCATGGCCAAATATGCAGAAAGAAAGAGAACAAAACATAAGCAACACTTTTGAAAAAGACAAGAAAACCTAATATGCAAGCAGAGAAGAGAAAGGGAGAAACAAGAAACCTTTCCTTAGAGCAGAGAACCCGGAAAGTGTAAATCTACAAAATGTATAAAAAATTAAGGGGAGAAAGAATTAGCTGCTGCTTTGCAGATTTTTACCGCTTTCCGTATCCCTAGATTGGTGATGTTGTCGTCTTACATACTGTTCGAAACGTTCAGAAGATGGTTCCTCATCTCTAAGACTATTAGGATTATTTGGCTCCTCTAGATTTCCAAGAGGTATTGCATGAATTGGAAGTTGATTTTCTCCCGTCGACTCGGTTCCTTCAAATGTCATTTCGTAACCTAAAGAATAGGTGATGATTTTCGAAATCCAATCAAACACTACAGAAAGAACCTTGGAAACTGCATTGGAAACTGCAGAAGCCAACAAGGGAAGTAAATCCAAAGAGAAAATCAACAAGTCCAATAAAACTATTCATTATTAATTAGCACAACTTTCAACAAGTATCATCCGTCTACTGACATACCTGAAACCAAGTTTAGAGAGAACCAAAAGGCCAAGACGATAAGAATAGCTGCCACACTATACTGAACCTTTATGGAAGTATCTTTCAGCATATTATTCTTTAAAAAAGGAAAGAGAACGTAATATGAAAATGAAAAATCAAGTATCAGTGAGAATAAATAACACCAAAAAACTCGAAGTCCTTCATTTGTCGTTCTTTTTGCAGCAGGTGGAATTCTCGCAAATGCCGCTGGGCTAGAAATATACAAGAATCCGCTCTTAACACTACCACAAAACGCACCACAGTAGTCTGAACACATTGTTGCAGAAGCGTCGTCTGACAATTCGTCCCTCTTGTTTTCAGGAACGAGATTTGGATGTAAACATAAACATCCTTTTTCCAAATTATCCAGATGTGAATAAGAGAGCTCGCTGTACTGCGGTAAATCACTGTCAGGACTTGCAGGAGAAACTTGACAGGAATATTCGGCTGCTTTGGCAAGTCCTAGTAGCTTTTCATTCTCTTTTTCGTTCATTGTTTATTGTTTAAATATAAAGAATCAAACAAACCATCAATTGCCCTCTACAAGGCTCAGAAGCGAGCTATGAAACCTATCGAAGTTTGATAGTAAAAGACCAGGAAGCGCACAAAAGTCCAAAGTAAAA